ACCACCGACAACCGCTTCATCAGGTTGTAGCTGCTCAGAAGCCCCTTCAGGACGTGCGTGACGTACGACGCCGCCGAGTACTGCACGCCAGCCATCCTCATGGTGGCGAGAAGTCGCCAAGCCCGGTTGCAGTAGTCGGACGCCGTCTCTTGCTCGCCCATCTGCAGATGCGTCATCTGCTCCTTGAGTTGGCTGATGTATAGGTCGTCGGTGACCTGGTACGTTGACTCAATGAAGTGCCACGCCTGGTGGCCGGCGTCCAGGTAGTCCCTGCACGACTTCAAGGCGATCTGCACGCCCGGCGACGAGATGACCGTGAAGGTCAGCAGCTGCACGACGCGGAACTCCGCACGCAGCTCGGGATTGCTCTTCGGCGGCGTCGCCACGGTGCCGTCGGCAAAGCATTTCAGCCCGGCCATCTCTAGATGGGGCTCGATGGCCTCCTTCCGCGTGAGTATGTCAGGACGACCGACCAGCAGGGGGGTGACGGAGATCCTGTCCGGCGTGAACTTGAAGTAGCCGTAGGATGGCGCTATCCCGCCCGCCGTCACATGGGTCGCCGACGACGGCATCACGCTACTTCGACGTCGCCCTGCGAGGACCCTGCAGCCGCCGACGACTGCAACCCTCGCGCTTGAACGTCGCCGACTTCATCGGCTTGGATTACTCCTCTCTGCCTCGACGTGCCTCCCGCACTGCTGCCGACTTGGTCACCTGCGTTGACGCCCATGTCGACGCCACCTTCGGTGTTCAACGGTCGAGGAGAAGCTGGTCGAGAAGGGTGCTCCATCACCCACACTGCGCGGATGCCAGCCTCAACGACCGCCAAGGGGAGTGTCTACCTGTACTCGCCATCCTTGTGGCGTCTCCTCTCGTCCTCCAGCCATGCCTCCAAGGTGTCTACTACACCTGCGTCACCTATGCCCACCATGGTGACTAACACACAGCTGCCGGCATACGAATACGATAGGTAAGTGGGACTAAGTCGACTAGACTGAAGGTAAGTCGAGGTGCCGTCCACGCTCACCGCACCATGCGGAGATAACCACTACAACGGGAGATAGTCTACGGGCTAGGCACGGGGTGGGAGTGATCTTAGCGTTCGTTCCTTAGTCGTTTACTTGTGCTCTCACTACTTGCTATTCATGGGGAAAGTTGGCAAGAGTTTCACTAGCAAAAGTTCACAATGCATGCAGGTCGACTGCCAGCGCAGCACAGCCGACCGCGTTCCAGCACGACATGGCCGACTGCGCTCCAGCAGTGTAAAGTCGCGGCCTGCCAACATTGCAAGTCGACGGCATGCCAACACTGCAAACAAGGCGGCTGCACAGCGTTGCACCCGCAGGACAGCAGCGCACCCGCTTCGTAGGTGCTCGCAGTTGATTGATGTGCTATGCTTCGTTACCTGCACAGCGCATACACCAAATCGTCCACATGCTGGTGGCTGCACCTGATCAGCCACGTCGACCTCAGGATACCACCTCCGAGGTCGACCTTGCCAAGACCACCTGGGCGACTATCGCACTCCTCCGCATAGCCCCGTCGCCCGGGTAACCTGGTCGACCGGGCAACCAAGTCGACCAGCTCCTTCTCCTCGTGCCCGTCGACCACCCAAGTCAACGTCCACCTCCTGTCGACCTCACCAAGTCGACCACACCCTTGGTCGACCAGCTCCAGGTCGACCACACTCCTAGTCGACCACCTCCAGGTCGACTAGCACAGCTGTCAGCCGACCACATCAAGTCGGCATCACCAGGTCGGCGTCCCCAAGTCGACGCCCTCCTCATGTCGACCTCCCAAGTTGACCTCCTCGTGTTGAAGTCGGCAGTCGGCTCCCCCAAGGTCGGCGGCCTCGTAGTTGTCCCGTGCAGGTCGGCCAACCCGTCGACCAGCTCACCCAAGTCGGCGTCGACCACTGCTGCAGGTCGGCTGTACCTCCAGCACACCCGACTACGAACTCGGCTCCGCCCAAGCGAGGACGGGGCCAACCACAACTCCCGTTGACACTACTGTCACATGCAGATGCAACCCTGGCATACCATTCTGCCGCAGGGTTGGCAAGTCGCTCTGGTGCAGCGGTGGCAAGCCACCAACTTGCTCTGTTGGCAGATCGCTCTTGTGCAACGCTGACGCGGTGCCTCTACGCAACGCTGGCAGATTGTCGTCCTTGCTGCACTAGCGGTCGACCAACTTGTCTGCTAGGTTGCTACGCTCTAATGTAGTCATTCTTGCAATTGCTCTTGCTATCATTATGTAATCCCAACTTTTCTAGTGAACCCTTGCCAATTCTCCCTGTGTATATGCAAGTGTTAGATAACGCAGGCAAAGCCCCGATTGCACTCATAACCTGTGTCAACCCCGTAGTCTAGCTCCCATCGGTGTAGAGTGAATTTTTGCGCAGCTAAGACTTTATCAACCAATGTGTATCTTGTTATTTACATTCACTATGAGAATTTGTCACTAACATTTTCACTGTCTTACCTCAAAGGCCCTTATCATATCATATTGTTTCTCAAATTATCATTGCAAAAAATGATTAAACAAATTCGTCCATGGTCTTAAATAAAAAAGGTGAGATTTTATAAGCTGTTGAACGACCAGTTTACATGAAAAAGGAAAGAGAAAGAAATGAAAAAATAAGAGAACGTAATTAACCAAATTTCATAATAAAACTGGATTTTGTGCATTTCTTGTACATACTATTTTGGTTTTATGAGAGCCCATTTGATTGTGACAAATATGCAATTGGGAAGGATTTTGTGAAGAGTATATGTTGTTATAATATGGTTTTCTATTATTTGTTGGAAGTTGATTTGATATGGTATATTCAGGGTGTACCAATTTGCAACCAAGCTAACATTAAGAATAGGGTTGGAGATTGGCCACACAACTTGTGCCACGTGGCACTTCACAAATGTGAACAGAGAAGCATTGGTGGCCCACAACGTATTCTCCAACATTGATGCCCTTGGGGTATATATACAACCATGACTCCCCCCATAACCATCCTCAGCATTGTAGGACATTGTAGATCAATTCACCCGTCTTTTTACTTGTCTTTCCTACCTCCATTCGCAGCCCTTCCTACATAAATCTTTTGGTAGAGTCATTTGCACGAGAATAGGAAGTTTGTGGCAGCACAACAGCATGATTTAGGCATCGAGCATAGAGATAGTTCGAGAAGCGTCATCGAGGCATCGGGAATTCATGCATGGAGAGAGATCCAGCGAAACTGCGTTGATCCTCCCAATATTGATTCGAAGATAACGATTAGAACAGACCATGCAAGAAGGTGCACTCAGCGACAAGTAGATCCCATCTATGGTACAACATGGAAGGACATGTTTACCGCCTTCCATGCAGGATCATCTGATGAAGTGGTTATGAACTTCAAGCACCCTTGAAGGGTGACTAGCCTATTGAAAACAGGGCAAGTAGGCGGAAGAAACTAGAAAGGAAGGCCCAAGAAAAGTCGGGTATGTCCCAACTCAAGCCACTGATTTTGGGTAGTCCTTGGGCAGTTCATATGACCTCACGTGAAGGGAGGAAACATGATTTGAGAAACCTCAGAGTGAGCCCGTAGCTAGCGTAGCAGACTAATGGCCAGTCATGCCTTGCAGGGCTGTATGCCACGGCTCCTTTAATGCTTACCCACTTCGTCAAGCATTCACCGCGTCGTATCGGTCGAAGCATTCCGTCAGCAGCAGCAGCATTTCGACAGCTAAGCTCGCGCGACGCGAGTCCCTCAAGGAGGTCGCTACGCCTGCATGGATCCTACCAACGTCGCAGGCGATATCTACGGTGCGTTGCGTCGCACAGATTTCCCCCCGCCGTCCGTCGCACACTTTCCTCTGTCGTTCAGACCGCGTCGCTCTCCGTGGATTGCCTGATCCGAGCTGCTTTCTCGAATCGCTGGAAAAACCTTTCGTAGGCCTCGTAACCGTCAGATTCCGTAATATTGACGACGCGCATTAGGTACACGCGAACACCGGGATTACGCTGCACTGGCACACCGCCGTTCATAGCCTTAATCGCCAGCCAAGTTTCACTTCACAGTGTCTCTCTGCCGTCTGGCCGGCCATTAGTCGCACGCTGCTGACGTGAAAGTCGTACGCTGCTGAATTGGAAGTTTCACGCAGCATTCAGTGGGCGAATTAGAGTCGTCGTAAAATTCCCTCAGTTCAATGGACGAGTCGCCTATCCTCGTTGCACGCTCATGCGACAGAATCTCTCGTCGCACGCTCGCCCGGCAACCCCCTCGTCCCTTGTGTTCTCTGCCTTCACTGACGCAATTCCGTCAAACAAGGGCCTGGACGCATCGTCACTGACCCGCCCGTGCGACCCCCCTGCGCGACCCACCCACCCGTGCAACCCACCCACCCGTGCGACCCTACCCTGCCAGAGCGATTCTTAGACGCATCGTCACCGGCCCACCGTGGCAGCGCGGCCTAGCCTCGTCTTTTAGTCAGTTAAGAGCGTTGCGTCTCGGTCCGCGGTCTAGTCTCTGTCTGCTCCGTACCTCGCGAGAACAACAGTCGACCAGCCAGCGCAGACGCCCTTTTTCTCCCACTCGCTGGTCCACTGTCCGCCGATGGCCGTCAACCGTCAGACGCACTGTCAGCAGGGGCGATGTTTGACCGCCGGCCGCCAATTGCCGCGCCAATGTAGAGCCCGAGCGGCATAGGTTACGGCATGGATCCTGAGCAGAAGGAGCACACGTCAGCTAGTGGAGGTAAAGGTCAGCTGTCTGAAACAGAGGCTTCGCGATTTATCAGTGGCGGGGAGACTCTTGTGAACCGTGGTCATTCTAGAGCTTGAGAAAGGGAGGTTGAGATTGGATCGAGCAGTGCAGCAGAGCGTGCGGGGGTTGACAACACGATTGCATGTGTGTGCGCGCACATGCACATGCGCATGAGAATCACCTGCAGCTGCATTACATTTGCGCATGAGCAAAGCCCTTCCTCCCTTCCCTATCTCGCCCAATCCCCACATGATCAGACATGGACCCCGGAGAGCCCGAGGTGGTGAGCACAGTACCACTATACAATTTTGACGGAAAGATTATCTGCAACCTGGCGGCTGACACGTGGCCTCTTGACATCAGGTCAGTGCCTGACTGACACGTGGCCTGTTGACTTCCGGCCAGTGCCTGGCTGACACGTGGCATCTTGCTTTCCCTGCCGTCTCTCGTGCGCCTCCGCTCTGCCCACTCTCTCCCGCGTTCCATCCTGATCCACCCGTCCTCGTGCTCACATACATGCTGTCGCATACCCCGCTATGTGCCTGTATCCTCCCCGCCACTCAGCGACGAGACGTGGGTGCTGCTGCCAAAGCTCACCCCGCGAGTGGAGCTGCCGTCCCTCCCCTCCCTGCCGCACTTCCGAGTGTACCCCGAGAGGAGCTCCTCCTCTGTGGACGTCAATAACTGGGAGCAGCTCGTGCACGTGCTCAGGAGTCATGGCCGGGTAGGTTTTTGTGTGTGTGGGTGTGGATGTGTGTGTGTGTGTGCGCGCGCGTGTCATGTGCGAGTGTGTTGTTGCTTGCTTTTCTGTGTGTGCATATGGGTGAGGAGAGAGGGGGTTCAAATCACTTCCGAGTGTACCCCGAGAGGAGCTCCTCCTCTGTGGACGTCAATAACTGGGAGCAGCTCGTGCACGTGCTCAGGAGTCATGGCCGGGTAGGTTTTTGTGTGTGTGGGTGTGGAAATGTGTGTGCGTGTGTGTGCGCGCACGTGTCATGTGCGAGTGTGTTGTTGCTTGCTTTTCTGTGTGTGCATATGGGTGAGGAGAGAGGGGGTTCAAATCACTTCCGAGTGTACCCCGAGAGGAGCTCCTCCTCCGTGGACGTCCATAACTGGGAGCAGCTCGTGTACATGCTCAGGTCACATGGCAGGGTAGGTGGGTGTGGTCAACGGGTATATGTGTGTTCTAAGGGTGAAAGGGTAGCTTGTTTCACACAATGCAAAAGCCAAGCCCGTCCCAATCTCCCCAAACGCCCCCCTTTCCCCTCTCCTTTCCACCCAGCCTCTCCCGCTCCATTTCCTCGTCCACAATTCACGCCCCTTTCCCCTCTATTTCCTTCTCGTCCCCTCCCATCAGGTGGGGCTCATCACATCAGCGCGAGGGCAGTACCAGTTCGGCCTGCTCCCCATCGCCACCCCATCCACCACCACCTCCACCTCTCCTCCCCCACCCCCTCCCGCCTTCGCCCACCCCTCTGCACCTCTCCCCACCGGTTTCTCCTCTGCTCGGGCGTACTACGCGCCGCTGCCAGCTGGCATTCCCCGCCGCGCCCCGCGCTTCCCTGCGGTGCTCCCGGGGCTGCTTCCGCAGCAGCAGATGCGACCTGCTGCGCACACGGCGCCTGGTCAGGTAGCACCTGGACAGATGGCGCCTGCTCAGGTGGCGCCTGGTCAAATGGCACAGCAGCAGATGAGACCTGCGCATACAGCACCTGGTCAGATGGCACCCGGACAGATGCCACCTGGACTGCAACACAGTCAGGTGCCACAGAGACAGGCGCATTCTCAGGTGGCACCTGCACAGGCACATGCCCAGGTGGGCAATGGTCAGGCGCATCTGGGGCGGGTGTCACCTGCGCAGGCACACTCGCACGTGGCATCAGCCCCAGCCCACACTGCAGCAGCCTCTCCACATTCAGTTACGCGGATGCAGAGGCAGGAGCCGGGGCAGGGATGGGCAGGGGCGCAGGTACAACTGGGGCGGGTTCCACTTGGATTCGAGCCCGATCCACAGGTGTCTTCTGCATCTGTGCAGCAACCCCAACAAGAACAAGCACTACCGCCACCGCCACCACTGCCACCACAACAGCAGCAGCAACAACACCAGCAACAGCAGCGGCACGCGCACACTCCAGCAGGGCATGGCTCGCCTCATGCTCCTGATTCACCAGGCGGCTGCTCCTTCCACCCTCCTCCGCCGCACTCCCGTGCCTCCCCCCGAGCACACAGCCTTCCGGCGCAGAGCCTCCCCTCTCGCTCTGCCGCATCCGCCCCTGCCACTCCAGTATCCACCTCTGCACCTCCATTCTCCACGTCAGCATCTCCAGTATCCACGTCAGCACCTCCATTGTCCATGTCAGCATCTGCAACCGCCACATCAGCATTCTCTTTCAAAGGTGCTCTTCCTCCTCCTCCCACGCTTCCACCTCCTCCTCCCCATCCCCCCTCAGCTCCTGCTCCTGCTCCTCCTCCTCCTCTTCTTCCATCTGCTTCCACAATGCCCCCTCCACCTGCCCGCCCCTCTCCCCCTCCGCCTTCCCCCGCCCCTCCGCCTCCCCCTTCCCTTCCCCCTGTCCGTGCCCCTGGGCCCGGCATGCATCCGCAGTACCTGGCGTCCCTGGCGCACACGCACCAGCAGTGGGTGTTTGGGGGGCTGGCGGAGCTCATAGATAACTCCATGGACGCCAAAGCACGGAGGTAAGGACGGCACTTCACACTCATGCACGCATGCACGCGCACACACGTACATGCACACACACGTACATGCACACACACGTACATGCACACACACATACACGAGCTGCCACCGCGGCTAGGCGCACATCCCCCAGCAGTGGGTGTTTGGGGGCCTGGCGGAGCTCATAGATAACTCCATGGACGCTAAAGCACGGAGGTAGGGCTGGGGGCTGTGACACACTCAAACACACACTCACTCACTCACTCACACACTCACACACACACGCACGCACACCTGTAGACGCACTCCGCACATACACGCACCAGCAGTGGGTGTTTGGGGGACTGGCGGAGCTCATAGATAACTCCATGGACGCCAAGGCACGGAGTTAAGAAGCAACACAGCACTCTCTCCCTGGCATGGGTGAGGCTGGGGTGATGCACCCACACCCACACCCACACCCACACCCGTGCATCCACTCCCATCATGGCATGGCACTGGTGCAAACGCACACCTATCAGCAGTGGGTGTTTGGGGGCCTGGCGGAGATGATAGATAATTTCATCGTGTACGCCACCGTGTAGTTTTTTTTTTATTTTTCAACTCCTACCTGCAGGCTGGCGGGTGTTCCAGGGTCTGGCGGAGCTGATTGATAATTTCATCGTGTACGTTTTGAGGCGCCTCAATACTTTCGAGGCGCCTCGAAACCAGCAGTGGGTGATCCGGGGCCTGGTGGGGCTGATTGATAATCACCTACCTGCATGCTGGAGATTTTCATCACCACGGCCAAGCTTCGGTAGTGGCAGCAGCAGCAGCAACAGCAGTTCCCGCAGCATCACCCTCCGCAGCAGCACCACCAATTCTGTGTTGTGTTGTGTGTGTATATGCCCTTGGGATGGGAATCCCCCACGTCTCTTTCAATGCAGGCTGGATATTTTCATCAGCACGGCCAAGCTCCCTCCAAGAGCAGCCGCCACAGCAGCAGCAGCAACAGCAGTCCCCGCAGCATCACCCTCCGCAGCAGCACCACCAATTCCCTCCTCCTCCTTCACTCGCCCCTCCTCTTCCCTACCCTCTGAACTGGTGCCAGTGCTGCACGTGTGTGACGATGGTAAGGGCATGGACCATGGCGAGTTGGTGCAGATGCTGTCGCTGGGCCATGACATCCCAGCAGAGGAGGACCCCCACCACATCGGCCGATTCGGCGTTGGCTTTAAGGTGCGTTGCAGGCAACCCCAACCAACTATTGAGTCCAATCAAAACTCACCTTGCTGTCGCTGGGCCATGACATTCCAGCAAAGGAGGACCCCCACCACATCGGCCGATTCGGTGTTGGCTTCAAGGTGTGTGTGTGTTGCATTGCAGACAGGCCCCCAACTCTTTGAGTCGACTCGAAACTCACCTTGCTGTCGCTGGGCCATGACATCCTCATCCTTCCTCCCTCCCGCCCTCACCACCAGACGGGCACCATGCGCATAGGCAACGATGCATTGGTTCTGACCCAGTCAAGGGACAGTCGCAGCATTGCGCTGCTCTCCCGCTCGCTCAACCACGGCCGGCAGGAGCTGGAGATCCCCATCGTGACGTACAAGCGGGTCGTATCTGGGGGAGGTGGATCTGCAGGCGCAGGGGGAGGTGGATCTGCAGCAAGGGGAGGTGGGACTGTTGAGTGGCAGCTGGATCTGGGCGTGCATTCAGAGGAGGAGGCGGAGAGACGTAAGGCAGCAATCTTTGACTTCTCGCCGCTGGACGAGCGGAGGATAGCCCAGGAGTTCCGCAAGTAAGTGGAACAGGTCAATACTGGTCAATACTGGTCAATACTGCTGCACACCGCCCACAGGCACGAGCATCTACATGTTCAGCCCACAGGCACGAGCATCTACATGTTCAGCCCACATGCACGAGCATCTACATGTTCAGCCCACAGGCATGAGCATCCACATGTTCAGCCCACAGGCACGAGCATCTACATGTTCAGCCCTCTGCTTTGAACCCATCCCTCTCCCCACTCGCGCTGCCCGGAAACCATTCCTCTCCCGCTCACTCTGCTCCCAGGTTGGAGAAAGCAGGCACTTCCAGCGACTCCCCCCCACCGGCGTGTGCATCTATGTGTTCAACCTGAAGGGCCTCTCCCGCCCAGCATCTATGTGTTCAACCTGAAGGGCCTCTCCCGCCCAGCATCTATGTGTTCAACCTGAAGGGCCTCTCCCGCCCAGCATCTATGTGTTCAACCTGAAGGGCCTCTCCCGCCCAGCATCTATGTGTTCAACCTGAAGTGCCTCTCCCGCCCAGCATCTATGTGTTCAACCTGAAGGGCCTCTCCCGCCCAGCATCTCACTCACGGCTTCCACTGCTTCCCACCCCCTCTTCCCCCCCCTCCCCCCCCACCACCCCCGAGGCTGGAGCAAGCAAGTGGCAGCACCGATGCGCCTCCCACGGACACGCGCAACTACGTGTTCAACCTCAAGCGCCTGTCTTGCCCCGCATCTCACTCACGGCTTCTACTGCATCTCTCCCCTCATTCGCTCTGAACCCATTCCTCTCTCTCCTCTCAGGTTGGAGCAAGCATGTGGGACCAGCGACTCCCCCCCCACGGGCACGCGCATCTACGTGTTCAACCTCAAGCGCCTGTCTTGGCCCATATGCTAACAGACCTCGGTCGCGGCTTCCACCTCTTCTCACCGTTCCCCCTGCAGGTTGGAGCAGGCAAGTGGCAGCAGCAGCAGCAGCAACACTCCCCCCACGGGCACGCACATCTACGTGTTCAACCTCAAGCGCCTGTCTCGTCCAGATGCAGCGTACGAGCTCGAGTGGGATGACGCCGCCCACGACATCCTCATCCGCACGCGGCGTCCCCGCTCCCGCCCCAACCAGCTCTGCCAAGACGTGAGTAGCTAACCCCCCTCTTGTATTGTTACTAGCTTCCTCGCCTGTGTGAGAAACTCGGCAGAAGGATCAGTCTTTCCCTTTCTGTGGCACCACGACGTCCTCATCCGCACCAGACGCCCCCGCTCCCGCCCCAACCAGCTCTGCCAAGACGTGAGCCGCTAGCCTCCCCGGCCTTATTACTACTTGCTAGTTTTTTCTGTGTGAGACAATCAGCAGCAGGGTCAGCGTCGGCCTTCCTTTCCCCTGCTGCAACTCCGCCCATGGCAAATCTTTCTTTCTTCCACAACACAACCCCCTGCCATGCCCGCTCTCATTTCTCCCAGCCTAATTTGTCCCTCATCTCCCCCCTCCCCTCCCCCCTCCCCAGGTACCCATAGACTACTCCCTACGAGCCTACCTGCGAGTCATGTTTCTCCACAACCCCGTCACCATCACAGTACAAGGCAGTGCCGTGCAGGGCAGTGTCGACATCGCGGAGAACCTCTCCCAACCGTTCTCCACCACGGGGACCGTCATGGGGCAGCTGGTGCAAGTGCGCATGGGCATGGACGAGGGCGAGAGGGCGTGCGGGAGGTGCGGGTTCTTCCTGTACTGGCATGGGCGGTTGATAGAGGCGTATAAGCGCGTGGGGCGGATGGAGTATTCGGGGGTTGCTGGGCTGGGCGTGGTTGGCGTTGTCGATACCACCGCTCTCTTTGTGAGTAAAGGAAGCTTGAGTTGCCTGCTGTGTGGTTTTGAGACGTCTCAAAGCTTGAGTTGCCTGCTGTGTGGTTTTGAGACGTCTCAAAGCTTGAGTTGCCTGCTGTGTGGTTTTGAGACGTCTCAAAGCTTGAGTTGCCTGCTGTGTGGTTTTGAGACGTCTCAAAGCTTGAGTTGCCTGCTGTGTGGTTTTGCCAGCATGGGAGCTGGGAGTGCTGAACTGCAAGCAGGTCTCTTATCACCACTAAGAACTCCCCTCTCTTACCTCCTTCAACCGTTTCACACGCCTCTTCACCTCGTCCCTGCAGGATGCGGCAGGGGAGCTGGGAGTGCTGAGCTCAGCCTAGAGGAGATTAGGATGAAGTTACCTGTGGATCCAGGTCGAAACTGTTTTTCTAAACTGCAAGCAGCGGTTTGCAGAGGGAGAGGAGTATCAGTGCCTCAGAACTTCATCTCCTCCACCTTCAACCACCTCACACCCCTCTTCACCTTCGTCCTTGCAGGATGCGGCTGGAGAGTTGGGAGTGCTGAACTGCAAGCAGCGGTTCGCAGAGGGCGAGGAATATCAGCGGCTCAAGGACTTCCTGTCGTCCACTTTCAACCAGTACTGGGAGGACAACTTCGACAAGGACCGCCCCACGGTGAGTTGTTTTTTTTTTCTTCTCTTTCCTTTCTTGTAGAATCAAAAGCCCCCCCAGTGGTGAGTGTTGGAGTGAACCAGTAGTATCAGTGCCTCACGGGGCTTTCTGTCAGTCACCTTCAACCAGTACTGGGAGGACAATTTTGACAAGGACCGCCCCACGGTGAGTATTTATTCCTTTTTCTCCTTTTTATTGTATGTTTTTTTAGAATTCTCAAAAACATACACCGCCCCACGGTGAGTATTTACTCCTTTTTCTCCTTTTTATTGTAGAATGAAAAGTCGCTCAGTGCTGAGTGCTGTGCTGGAGTGACCCGCTAGTATCAACTGCTTAAGGACTTTCTGACAAGGACCTCCCCACAGCGAGTGAGCTGCTTTTCAGTCGATTCTTTGGTTGCATTCCTCTTTGAGGGTTGTTTTTTGAGGCGAAAAACAGTTGAATTCAATATCTTGTCCTCCCCCTCCCTTTCCTATTTCCTCTTGTCCTCCCCCTCCCTCCTTTTCTCCCTCCCCGCTCTCCCGTGTTCAGTCGAACATACCAGAGGGGACAGTGCCGCAGGATCACAGGAACTGGGTGCAGTGCGAACGCATCGCCATGCATGCGTGTTCCTTGTCCGCCCTTTCTCTTATCCTCCTCCCGTGTTCTTCCTCCTACTCCTCGCTGCCATCCAGACGAACATACCAGAGGGGGCATTGCTACAGGATCACAGGGACTGGGTGCAGTGCGACAAGTGCAAGGAGTGCGAATGCAGCTTGACTCTTCTTTCTTGTCCAGCCTTTCTAATCTCCTTCTGCTGTTCCCCCATGCTTTTCCTCCCTCTCCTCCTCTCTTCCTCGTGTTCAGTCGAACATACCAGAGGGAGCAGTGCTACAGGACCACAGGGACTGGGTGCAGTGCGACAAGTGCCAGCAATGGCAGTGAGACTGCAGGACCACATCCTTTCTCACCTCCTTCTCGTGTGTTCTTCCTCTCTCTCCTCCTCCCTTAGTTGTGTTCAGTCGAACATACCAGAGGGGGCAGTGCTACAGGATCACAGGAACTGGGTGCAGTGCGACAAGTGCCAGCAATGGCAGTGAGACTGCAGGACCACATCCTTTCTCACCTCCTTCTCCTGTGTTCTTCCTCCCTCTCCTCCTCCCTTTGTTGTGTTCAGTCGAACATACCAGAGGGGGCAGTGCTACAGGATCACAGGAACTGGGTGCAGTGAGACAAGTACCAGCAATGGCAGTGAGACTGCAGGACCACATCCTTTCTCACCTCCTTCTCCTGTGTTCTTCCTCCCTCTCCTCCTCCCTTTGTTGTGTTCAGTCGAACATACCAGAGGGGGCAGTGCTACAGGATCACAGGGACTGGGTGCAGTGCGACAAGTGCCAGCAGTGGCACATTCTGCCCCCCAATGTCACCTCTGAAATGCTGCCGGAGAACTGGTACGAGTGGTGCTGAGGGGTGCTGAGAGGTGCTGAGAGGTACCGAGGGGTGCTGAGGGGTGAAGAGTGGTGAGGAGGGGTGAGGAGGGGATGAGATTCTGGAAGGGATGGGCAGATGGGTTTGTAGTGGGATGCAATGGGTGCAGTGCGACAAGTGCCAACAGTGGCATATCTTGCCGCCCAATGTCACCCCTGAAATGCTGCCAGAGAACTGGTATGAGGGATGCGGAGGGGTACAAAGGGGTGGTGATGGGGAATGTGAGGTGCTGAGGGGCTCGCAGGGGTGTTGATGGACGTTTGAGATGCTGCCAGAGAACTGGTATAGCGGGTGATGTTAGGAAGAGGAGTCCAATGTGCGCTCACTCTCTCTGCCTGCCATTGAATGTATGCTTCATGTTGACTCCTGTTGACTCTTGTTGAATTCTGTTGACTCTGCCCCTCCTTTACCCCATGTTCTGCTAAGTGGACCCCTTATGGTGCATGTGCTGACAGCTGTTGGCCCCTATGCATCCTCTCTTCTCGACTCTGGTTGATTCCTGTTAACTCTTGTTGACTCTTGTTGACCCCTGTTGACCCCTGTTGACTTTTCCTACAGGTTCTGCTACATGGACCCCATACGAGGCAAGTGCAACGACCCCAATTATGTCGAACCAGCTCCTAACGAGGTCACCCTTGGGATCTCCAGACACTCCAGTAACTTCCCGGTTGCTGCTGCTGCCGCTGCTGCTTCTCCTGCGTCTGCTGCTGCTGCCGCTGCTTCTGCCGCTGCTTCTGCTGCTGGTGCTGCTGCCGGTGCTGCTGCTGGCGCTGCTGCTATGCTGAATGCTGACGGGCGCACCTTGACTGGTGCTGCTTCGGATGCTGACAGCAACTGTGTCCCTGTTACGCCTAGAAGCAGTGCTGTGGCAAGGGCCACAGAAGGAGGTGCTGCAGGTGGGGGAACGGGAGAAACGGTAGGAGGAGCAGGAGCCTCAAGAAGGTCAGGAGAAACAGCAGCAGCGGGAGCAGCAGGAGGAGGAGCAGGAGCAGGCAGAGCAGGAGCGGCTGCAGCGGCAGCAGGAAGAGGAGGAGGTGAAGCAGGAGGAGGAGGAGGTGGGCTCAGAATCAAGCCACCGATGGGAAAGCAGAAAGCTGTTTCTCGAAAGTCCTCACCTGCCGCTGCAGCAAAGAGCAAAGGGACGACGAGCGAGGTTAAACGAGTGAGCGAGAGGGAGAGAGGGAGAGCGAGTGAGCAGAGGGTAAACGAAGGGAGGAGAGAGGGTGAGAGGGCGGGTGCTGTCATGAGTCCTGCTGCTGGGCCAAGCAGGTTTGGAGCTAGAGAGGTGAGTGGGGGAGTGGGGGCAGGGAGGGCAGGGGAGGGACGAGGGGGAGGGGTTGGGGAGCAAGGGGGAGCAAGAGTGGGGAGAGGAAGTGGGCTGGGAGGAGCTGGAGCAGCAGGCTCCTTGGATGAGAGCAAGAAGAGGAAGCTGGGAGGAGGAAGTGGGATGGCAGGTGGGAGTGGTATTCCTGACAGGGACGGGGCAGGCGGCAGTGGCGCACATGTGAGTGTGAAGGAAGAACCTGGGGAGCATGTGGGAGCAGCAGTGGGGGTAGAGAGACGTGATTGGACAAGCAGGGAGCATGGCGAAAGGAGACACGAGGGACGGGAGCGAGCAGGGCTGGGAGTGGAACGAAGGGGAGACGGGTACTTGGATCGACAAGGGGAGAGGGGGGTTGGTGGGCAAAGAAGGGAAGGAGAAGGGCGACGTGATAATACAGGAAGTCGGGCAGGAGTGGAGAGGAGGGACTACAGAGTAGGGGGAAGAGTGGAGAGTAGGGACTGTAGAGAAGCAGCGGTAGGAGCACAGAGCAGGAGCGGAGCAGGACCCTCCGGTGATCACAGAACTGCTGCTGGTGGTTGTGGTGCTGCTGGTGTGGCTGGAACTGGTGGTAATCATGGTGCAGGTTTGAGTGCTGCTGCTGCTGCAGAGAGGGAGGAAGGGGAGGAGGTGGACAGCAGTGAAGATAGTGAGGAGGATGCGGTGACGTGGCACCACCGGCCGGCAAAGAGACGCGCGATCATGGATGATGATGACGATGAACTTGAGGATGGAGAGGTGTGAATCTCTCTCAGTCCTAGTATATGTTTGTGCTCTAGGAATTGGGCGTTGTTAGGTAAGGTAATAATTTAAATTCGGGGTTTTGCACTATCTTAGGAACTAACATGGATTGGTTATCAATGGCAAAAATTGTGAGGATACATGCGAACAAGGAAATAATGGGAAAAAATCCTCTTATTGATACAATGTGTAGTACATGTCAGAATATAATTGCATGCATTATCTTATAACTACTTGTAGTGTAGACTAAATGTAGTTCTAAACCTGTTTGGTGGTGCACCTCTCTTTTCCTTGCATATATGTTTCCAACTTTCTATAGTGAAACCCCCTACCTTTCTACTCTCGATAGTTGCCTAGCACCCAAACCCTAGGCACTACTAAGCTTACCGTATCTTATATTGAGTAGGCTGTAGCGGGGTAGCCCATAACGGGTGCAACCCAATTAAGGTTAGTACTTGTATCAAATTTCTTCTCAATGCTATCATTCCCTCGTCTAGTTTCTAACATGGTATCAGAGCAAGTCCTGTTCCAGAACCATTTTTTTAGGGCCCACCGAATAGTTCCCTTCCCGTAGCGTGTTACCCTGCTCGTAGCTGCCCTGCCCTGCCCGTCGCGCCGCCCTGCTAGCCGCACGCCGCCCTGCTGGCTACCGCGCCGCCCTGCCCTGCCTGTCGCGCGCCTGCTGGCCGCGCGCTGCCCTGCCCTGCCCGCGCGCCGCCCTGCTGGCCGCCGCGCCGCCCTGCTGGCCGCGCGCCGCCCCTTTCCTGCCCGCGCACCGCCCTACTCGCCGCGCACCGCCGTTCCTGCCCGCACGCCGCCCTGCCCTGCCCGCGCGCCGCCCTACACCCTGCCCGCGCGCTGCCGTGCTAGCCGCGCACCGCCATTTCCTACCACTTTCTCGCACTTGACCCCACAGACCTGTCGACCTGCTCGAGAAGCACCTCCTTGCTGCTGAGACTAGCATAGTCGCTGTAGGTGCTGCTCGTGGCACTCCTCGCACACCCTTCTTTGAGGGGTGTTCCCCCTCCCCCCTTGCCCCCTCCTACGCTTCTCCTGCTGCTGTTGACATCCTTGGTACTGAGGAGGTCGGGGCTGCTTCTGCTCCTAGTGGGAAGCGCCGCAGCGGCAAGGGCAAGGGAGGAAAGAGTGGTGGAGGTGGCAGCGGGGGTGGTGGTGGTGGAGGCGCTGGAGGTGGTGGAGGTGGCGGTGGGAGTGGTGGCGGGAGTGGGGGCGTCGGTGGCGGCGGTGGTGGCAGCGGTGGGAGTGGTGGCGGTGGTGGCGGCAGTGGGAGTGGTGGCGGCGGCAATGGTGGCGGTCGGGGTGGAGCTGTTCAGAGGGGAGGTTCTGGCGGTGGCCAGAGGCAGTAGCAGCAGCGTCCGAGGGAGACCCCTACGCCTCAGCAGCTTCGTGAGTGGTTTGCTCAGCGTGGGGCGTCTGGGGGTAGTGTTCGTTGCCCGTATGTCATTCGCACAGGTGACCGCGCTAGTCAGACATGCGGGAAGTTTCCCGCTGTTTCTTTCGCGACAGTACCACACTCACTCCACTCCCTGCACCTGTTCCAGTCAGACTGGCTGACCCCTCAGGGGGCCCAGTACTTGCACGTTCCACCACTGTTCTCTCGTGTCCGGCAGTTCTGCCTGGCTCACTGCCAGGTCTTCACCTCCCCTTGTTCTCTACGAACTTGGTGAGTACCGCTGCCCTCCAGGATGCGATGGTCACTACCACCACTACTAGGGGTCAGCGTGTGGCAATCTGCACATGCACACGGACGGGCCGTCACCTGGCCACGTTCACTCGTCGGCTTGGGTCGATTCTATACACACTGACTTTTGAGCCTCTTCAGGTAGTTGCTTCTAGGCAGTTGCCACGTCAGGTCAGGTAGTCGCCCCCTGTTCGTGTCGCCTCTTGTCGCACCAGACTCTCCTTTGGCACCACCGCCTTTGTCACCCCTCCCTGCTACGCCTCTGTGGCATGCACTCCCGCCTCCTTGTTTCTGGTCTTCCCAGGTCTCTGCCTCCCCTCCCGCCCTCGCCTACCCCGCCCTGCCTTCCTTGCGTTTAGGGGCGGCAGCACACCGCTCCTCACTCCTCCTCGTTTCCCCCGACGATTGCTCCCCTGCAGACTCTCCACATGGACGTGTCGGTCCCAGCCCGCGTCAGTGGACAGGGCCGCGAGCGCTACTTTCTGCTGGTTGTTGACGACTACACGCGTTACACCACGGTCTTCCCCTTGCGCACCAAGGGTGAGGTTCCTGATGTCTTGATCCCGTGGATCCGTGCAGTCCGTCTCCAGCTGCGCGAGCGGTTCCGGGAGGACCTTCCTGTCCTGCGTCTGCACTCAAACAGATGTGGTGAGTTCTCCTCCGACCTCTTGCGGGACTTTTGTCGTGTAGAGGGCATCCTCCAGTCGTTCACGCTTCCAGCCTCCCCGCAACAAAGTGGGGTTGCTGAGTGCCGCATTGGCATAGTCATGGAGGTCGCTCGTACCTCCATGATCCATGCAGCTGCACCCCATTTTCTGTGGCCGTTTGCGGTCCGGTACGCTACGCATCAGCTCAACCTCTGGCCCGGTGTCTCCTTGCCGGAGACCTCGCCTACACTGCGTTGGATAAGAAAGGTTGGCGATGCGTCGGTGTTCCGGGTATGGGCTCTCATGCCTTTGTCCGCGACACTTCCGCGGACAAGCTCTCCTCCCGCGCCATTCCCTGTGTCTTCCTTGGCTTTCCCCATGACGCGCCTGGCTGGCAGTTTACCACCCCACCTCGCGCCGTGTCCTGCCCTCTCGGGACATCACGTTTGACGAGTCGGTTCCCTTTTACCGTCTCTTCCCTTACCGCACTGCCCCTCTCCCCCCCCCGCCGCTCTTCCTCGCTCCAGGTCCCCCTCCGGTAGACCCCCTCCCCCCTCAGGGTCCTGCTCCCTCAGGTGTGTCTCAGGTAGACCCACTCCCTCTGGTTGAGCCTGTCGAGGTCACTGTAGACTCTGGTGCTGCTGGGGGTGGTGCTGCTAGGGGTGCTGCGTCTGGGGGTGCTGAGCCTGCGGGTGCGGAGCATGGGGGTGCTGAGCTTGCGAGTGCGGAGCCTGGGGGTGCTGAGTCTGAGGGTGCGGAGTCTGGGGATGCTGAGCCTAGGGTTATTGCGTCTGTCGGAGGTCCTGCGGTGCCTCGCCACGACAGTCCTGCCGGCGGGAGCCTCTCTCACCGCGGCAGCTGGGCGAGTGGTTTGCTCGGCGCACACGCCTTAGGAGTGGCGCTGCAGGAGCTAGAGGCCCTGCCGCTGGAGGCACTGGAGCTGGAGGTGCTGGAGCTACTAGTCCTGAAGGTGCTCGTACAAGAGGTACTGGAGCTGCCGGAGCTGGTGGTGTTGGACGCGCTGGAGCTGGAGACCCTGGAGCTTGAGGCTCTGGAGCTGGAGGCGCTGGAGCTGGAGGCACTGGAGCTAGAGACCCTGGAGCTGAAGGCGCTGGAGGTGGAGGTACCGAAGGTGCTGGAGCTGCTGGTCCTGGAGGTGCTCCTACTAGAGGTACTGGAGCTACCGGAGCTGGTGGTTTTGAAGGCGCTGGAGCTGGAGACCCTGGAGCTGGAGGCACTGGAGCTGGAGGCACTGGAGCTGGAGACCCTGGAGCTGGAGGCGCTGGAGCTGGAGGTACCGGAGGTGCTGGAGCTGCTGGTCCTGGAGGTGCTCGTACTAGAGGTACTGGAGCTGCCGGAGCTGGTGGTGTTGGAGGCGCTGGAGGTGGAGACCCTGGAGCTGGAGGCACTAGAGCTGGAGGCGTTGGCGCTGGAGGCGCTGGAGCTAGAGGAGCTCAAGCTGGAGGCACTGGAGCTCGAGGCGCTAGAGCTAGAGGCACTGGAGCTAGAGGCGTTGGAGCTTGAGACCTTAGAGCTAGAGGTGCTCACGCTGGGGGTGCTGGAGCTGGCAGTATTGGTGTTGGAGGCACTGTGCAGCGGCGACCTTTTTTTGTTCCGCCGCTGCCGTCGTCTCTGCCGCCACCAGGCTCGGTCCTTCGCCAGGTTCTTAGTCTCCTGGCTTGAGACCCTAGAGCTAGAGGTGCTCACGCTGGGGGTGCTGGAGCTGGCAGTATTGGTGTTGGAGGCACTGTGCAGCGGCGACCTTTTTTTGTTCCGCCGCTGCCGTCGTCTCTGCCGCCACCAGGCTCGGTCCTTCGCCAGGTTCTTAGTCTCCCGGCTTCTACTGGCCTGACTCCTCCCTTACAGTGTCCACCGCCTCACCATTCGCAGCAATAGTTACAGCAAGACTCCCCACTGCCTGCTCCTTTTCCTTACGCTGAGCAGACAGACTCTCTTGCAGAGTGTCGTGAGCCTGTGTCTCGTCCTGCTTTGCCTGTTCACGCTGTTTGCAGGTTCCCCTACCGTCTCCTCCTGCGTCCTCTCTTGCTGACGGTCCAGACCCTGATTCTCAATTAGTTCTCACTTAGTTCGTGCTGGAAGTTCTACTGTCACACATCTTCTAGCCACTATTGTCACTAACCCTTCGTTTGAGTCCGCTGCTGCATCTGCCCTAGTTGCTGAGCTTGTTGACTTTGCTGCCGCCTGTCGTCTCGACTACGCCGCTAGTCTTGTTGCTGAGTCTGAGTCTAACTGTCCTCCGTCCGTCGGGGGTGAGTGTGCTCTTGGCACGGACGTCCTTGAGGACAAGCAGGAGGACTTTGAGTGTCTTGCAGCTGCTGTACCTCATCTCGTGGTCATGCTGCCTGCATCTGAGGGAGACTCAGATGCACCAGACATCTCGACCCCGCGCTCTTACGCAGAGGCGATTACGGGTCCCTACTCCTCTTAGTGGCAATTAGCCATGGAGGCAGAGATGGCATCCTAGAAGTCCACAGGCACCTACGTCGATGCAGTTCCCCCTCCTGGGGCGAACATAGTCGATGGCATGTGGATTTTCAGGGTGAAGCGGCCGCCGGGTTCTCCGCCTGCCTTCAAGGCCCGTTACGTTGCACGAGGCTTTAGTCAGCGACAGGGAGTTGATTTCTTCCAGACCTTCTCCCCTACCCTGAAGACGGCCACTCTTCGGGTGCTGCTGCACGTCACCGCTCAGCGTGACTACGAGCTTCACTCTCTTGACTTCAGCACAACTTTCTTATAGGGCAGCCTGCATGAGGAGATCTGGCTGTGCCACCCACCTGGCTTCATTGGGTCGTTTTCTGCAGGTACCCAGTGGAGCCTCCGGCGGCCAGTCTACGGTCTCCGCCAGGCGCCTCGTGAGTGGCACGACACACGGAGGACGACGCTTGCGGCTCTTGGGTTTGCTCCTTTGACTGCTGACCCTTCGCTGTTTCTGCGCACCGAAACTTCGCTGCCGCCGTTCTACATCCTCGTGTACGTCGCCGACTTGGTTTTTGCCACTGAGGCACTAGCCCTTGTGAAGTCGGAGCTGCAGAAGAGACACACCTGCACTGACCTGGGTGAGCAGCGCAGCTATCTTGGATTGCAGATCACCCGGAACATAGGAGGGCGCACCATCACCCTGACTCAGTCACACATGGTGCACCACGTCCTATTGCACTTCAGCTTCCGGTACTCCTCGCCACAGTCCACTCCTCTGCCTATCGGTCACTCGCTCTCAGCTCCACCTTCGTACGAGTCCGCAGAGCCGAGTGGCCCGTATCCAGAGCTTGTGGGCTGCCTCATGTACCTGATGACCTGCACTCGACCTGACCTTGCCTACCCTCTTAGCATCCTGGCACACTATGTTGTGCCCGGGAGACACCGACCAGAGCACTGGGCGGCTGCTAAGAGGGTGTTGCGCTACTTGTGCAGTACATCGGGTATGGGGCTCGTGCTTGGAGGACAGGGTCCAGTTGTCCTCACTAGACACACACACGCGTCTTGGGTTGATGACTTGGCTACGCATCGGTCGTCACAGGGTTACACTTTCAGCCTTGGCTCCGGCTCTGTTTCTTGGCGGTCTACCCGCTCGTCTTCTGAGGCTGAGATCTATGCAGGGGCCATGGCTGCACAGGAGTGACGCTTGCTCACTTACCTGCTGACTGACTTGGGAGAGCGGCCTCGTTCTCCTCCAGTTCTATACGTAGACAACAAGGCCATGATTGCCTTGTGTCAGGAGCACAGACTGGATCACAGGACGAAGCACATCGCTTTGCGTTAATTCCTTGCTTGAGAGTTGCAGCAACGTGGTCAGCTTCGTCTTGCTTATGTGGCCACTCGGGCCAACACTGCTGATATATTCACCAAGGCACTTCAGCCTTGTGATCATCAGCATTTCTGTACTATTTTAGGCCTTGTGCCCATTTTGTCTCACTTGCTCAATGTGTGACTTTGCTTGTACTGTGATCTATATACATATATACCTGCATGCTTACCACTGCTAGGTTATGATCACTGTACTGTTTGTTCTCGTTCATATAACTTTGCGTGTGGACTGGCCTTGTGGCCATTTGCTTGTGCTCAGAGTGTGTGGTGACTTTGTGATCCACCCTGAGCTTGCTTTGCCTTTTCTTGACTGGTCCTGTGACCTCCTGTTCTCCCCCACTTTGCCTATGGGGGTGTGTCAAACTGTTATAATGTTTATATTGTGTAGGCTGTAGTGGGGTAGCCCATAAGAGGTACAACCCAAATAGGGTTAGTACTTGTACCAACTTTCTTCTCAATGAAATCATTCCCTCTTCTAATTTCTAACAGTTCCTAGACCGATTCCCTCATGGGCCCACCGCGTGTTCCTCCTCTCACGGCACATGTTCTGCACCCCTGTCACTATCCGCGGTCGCAACGGTCGCGACCGTCGCAATGATCATGGCGGTGAGTTGGTCGCGGCCCCCCGTCGCAGCCCGTCCGTTCCGTGCTGCCCCAGCCCGTCCCGTCCCCGTCCAGCGGCGCACAGTGTGCACAGCCGCATGCACGCAGCCGCGAGCGCGCAGCTGAACGCACGTCACCAGCCGCGCGCACGACTGCTGCAAAATGCACAGCTGCAGCCGCACGCGCAGCAGCAGCCGCACGCACGTCTACATCGTCACGTGCAGCTGCAGGCACACGCGCAACTGCAGCCGCCTGCTGCGCCGCCCCTCCCCATTTACCCCCTTCTCACTGCTGCTGGTGCACCAAGGGGGGGAAGGGGGGGAGGGAGGGGAAGATTTGTCGGGGGGACAGCACTTGTGGCGGTCGTCGCGGCCCTTTCCCTCCCCCCCCGTCCCGTTTTCTTCCCCCCCGTCGCCTTTCCTGCCCGCGCCTGCTTCTGCAGTGCGAGGAGGTGGAGGTTGGTGGGGAGGTGGCAGGGGAGTGGGGCCCGCGGCCTGCCCGTGCCTCTGCCAGCACCAGCGCCTGTGGGGGGTAGGGTGATGGGGGTGGCGGATAGTGGAGGGTGAGGGGGTGGCAGGAGGGGTTCTGCAGTGCTAGCCGCCCACCACCTCCTCCTCTCTCTCCCTGCCGCACCTGTTGTTGTGTTGGGAGGGGGGGGAATGAGCTTGGAGGTTAAGGGGGTGGCACCAAACGCCTCCTCCCCCCCCTCTCTCCGCTCCGTTTCCAGCCACCCCTGCCCTGAGCCGCCCCTACCTTGTGCCTGCCCTGATTGCCCTATCTCTCGGTACAACTTCTGCTGCTGTGAGAAAGAGGTTTGGGGAAGGGGGGGAGGTTGAAGGGGGGTGGCCGCCGTGAAGCCAGCAGCTCCAGTCGCCCGTGAGCCCGTTGCTCCAGTCGCCCGTGAGCCCGTTGCTCCAATCGCCTGTGAGCCCATTGCTCCAGTTGCCCGTGAGTCAGTTGCTCTAACCGCTCGTCTAGCCGTAGAGCCAGTTGCTCCAGTTGCCAGTGTGTTAGTTGCTCCAGTTGCTCGTGTGCCAGTTGCTCCAGTTGCCCGTGTGCCAGCAGCTTCAGCCGCCGCCCACCACCTCCTCTCCGCTCATGGTCCCTCCTCCTCCTCACTTGCCCTCTCCTTCTACTGCAGTTGGTGTACCCCTTCAGGGGGTGTTCTGCACATGGTTCTTCACTGCAGGCAGTTAGGGGGTGTGTCAGGATATAATTACATGCATTATATTATAACTGCCTGTAGTGTAGACTTAATGTAATTTTAAACATGTTTGGTGGTGCACCTCTCTTTTCCTTGCATATATGTTTCCAACTTTCTATAGTGAAAACCCCTTCCTTTCTACTCTCGATAGTTGCCTAGCACCCAAAACCTTTGCACTACTAAGCTTATCTTAACAGTATACACCATATTTTATGCAATGGACCTTCTCAAGCCAGTCCATAATCTCCATCAAATACATGCATAAGCACAGACATACATTGATATCAGTTAGAGTTGCTTTCGACTAACAACGAGTTTTCCTACTCGGCAAGTGCTGCTGACCATGGGCTGTGGAGCCCCCAGAGGGCTGGAGAACTTTCGGACGAGTTAGGTTCCGCCAGATGGCAAGCATGTGGCCTATGGACGGTTCAATTGCGGGGGACTGCTAACCAGGTGCGGCGGGTCGTCGTTTTCATCGCCTTTCCACTTCCGTGCGACGCGTGCGGAATAGAGTTGCGACTTGACCGGCCTTTTCATTGGCCGGGCGGAAGGCATGCCTGCTGTCTTCCGGCCAACCATTCGCCACAAGCCGTAGGACACTCGAGAGAACCATCAACCACCACATACTCGATCAGTCAGGTAAACTCAATAACAGAAACCAGAGCGGTACAGTACGATTTTTCGCTTTTCTGTGCTTGACGTCAGCATACAGTAAGGTTCGTACCCTTCTCCCCCCGAGACCTGTGTCCCCGCTCGCATTGCGCATTGCATGGCTCTCCCGTCTTGTGCTCCACGGGATTATCTTTCTTTGTTACATGCAACTAAATTGTGCAACAAGAATTTCCGTTCAGCCATTCCCCATTGTTGCAACGAGACATCAGCAACACAACCATTGCTGCAGCCTATCATCGGCTCTCCCATTTGATTTCCAGCAAATCACTAGCGACGGAACCGTCGAATCCACGGCGGAGATTCTTCCTCAGCACGTTCGCCCCATTTTCAAGTCCTAGCCACGATCGCTCAGCTCTCCTGAGTGAAATTTCGGCTTACTCCTTGCGTTGGTTCCTGAAATCTCTTGGCACGCAGCATATTCTGGCTCACGCTTTCTCCGTTAGTTACTGGATCATAGACGATTTCGTCACCGCCTTCGGTCGACGTCTTTTGGTCCACAAATTATCCTGTAGTTGTTGGCGAAATCTTGAGTACTGAACGGAAAACAGTACCGGCGCGATGGCGGAGAATGAGTGGCTATCGGGTTATTTGGACGCGATTCTAGAGCGCGGAGGCGCGCCGATGGGCACTGACAAGAAGGAACGGCTGGATCTATCGGAGATCAAGGGCCAGAGCGGCACAGCCGTCCGATACTTTGTGAATGAGATCAAAGATTCGAGCGAGGAGGAGCTGCATCGCACGTGGATGAAGGTATTGCACATGGGCGATGGGAGTGTCGCACACGAGCGGTGAAAATGTCGCACATGAATGATTGCGTCGTACTTGTCGCACACGATTGCGTCGCACATGATTGTATTGGTAGTTTGTTAGCAGCCACAATGTCTCAATACGAGCTTTGATTTCATCCGTGATCTGTGCAGGCCACAGCGATGGGCGACGAGAAAGGGTCCCGAATGGAGAATTTTACTTGGCGAATTTGGCACCTGTCCCGGATAAAGAAGCAGGTATGCTGCGCGTACCAACTGTACTGTGTAGGCTTTGTCCTGCTGGCTCTTCGTGGCCTCGAATTACCCAATCTCCCCCTTTCGTCAATCTCCTGAACTGACACCCACCCAGTTTTCTTGACTCCCCCCCAGTCTTGAAAATCTTCTCCCGATTCTTTTTTATCCGCACCTCCCCTCATATCTCTCGTAAATCCTCCCCCAACGATCTTTATCAAAATCCTCACGTTCGGCGCTTCGTGCTTCAGTTGGAGCAAGAAGCATCGCGGATCAAGGAGCAGCAGCAGCACGACAAGGAGGAGGCTGAGCTGGACATAGAGGAGGAGGACGGCCCTGATGACGCCCTCCCAGACACCTTATCCTCAGCTGACGTGGCTGCTGACGTGGACAAGGCCGCGGATGACCTGCTGGACTCCAGTGCCAACGTGGCAGCGGCCCAGGCGGCGGCAGCTAAGGCTGCAGCGGAGAAGGAGTCGCGGGGGAGGAGGGAGAACCAGCAGCAGGGGGAGAAGCAGAGGGAGGTGCCTGCTGGTGCAGGATTGACTGCTGAGGTTCCTGGGAGGGACCCGCTTGAGCATGGCACGGAGAAGAGGCTCTATATTGTCATGATCAGGTGAGCCCTGGGATTGTCGTTACTAGGTGAGCTTTGGGATTGCTGTGTCTAGCTGAGTGTATGGGTTTTTATAACTAGATGGGTCGCTGAGGCGCTTGGGAGGGATCCGCTTGAGCATGGCATGGAGAATAGGCTTTATATTGTCATGATCTGGTGAGCCTTGGGATTGTCGTGATCTTGAAATGAGTGAATGCATGGATCCTGGAATATTGAATGCACACACAAATGAGTGAACACATCTTGCATGTGCCTGTGTTCTTCTCTTCCATGTGCCATACAGCATCCATGGGTTGGTCCGCGGAGAGAACATGGAGCTGGGCCGAGACTCGGACACAGGCGGCCAGGTACGTGTGCTCCTGTGTGGTGCATCTGTGCTGCCTGCTCCTGTGTGCTGCCACGTGTCTCTCGTATAAGGCACCATACAGCATTCATGGGTTGGTCTGCGGAGAGAACATGGAACTGGGTCGAGACTCGGACACGGGCGGCCAGGTATGCCTGCTGCCTGTCCCTGTGTTCTATCCTTCCTCCCTTCGTGTGCCGCCCACTCGTGTGCTGCACGCCTGCACGCCTGCACACCTGCTCACCTGCCTGCCTGCACACCTCCACACCTGCTTTCACACCTGCACACCTGCCTGCACTCCTGCACGTCTTTTCACCCTCTTCTGCATCCACACCTGTACCCATGCACACTGCACGCATGCACTCGCCCCTCCTCGTTCCACCCTTCAGCTGATAGCCTCATGAGCCACTCTCTTCCGCACCACACCCTAATCCCATCTTACTCCCCCAACACTCATGCCCTGTTCAGGTGAAATACGTGGTGGAGATCGCACGTGCTCTGGCATGCATGCCTCAGGTGTACCGCGTGGATCTGCTCACACGCCAAATCGTTGCCCCTGGGGTAAGTGGTTGTGAGTGGTGGGGAGTGGTGGGGATGGGTTTGGAGCTGGTTATCAGGAAAAGGGGGGGTCCTGGCGTGCATGCCTCAGGTGTCCTGTGTGGATCTTCTCACTGCACCCACACGCTCATCTCCCCTCTAATCTCCCCACTCCTGTCCCCTCTCCCCCCTCTCCTTCCTCCCTGCTCCCCAGGTTGACTGGTCGTATAGAGAACCATCAGAAATGCTCACCTCTCCTCTCCCCTCTCTCCTCTCCCCTCTCTCCTCTCCCCTCTCTCCTCTCCCCTCCCTCCTCTCCCCTCCCTCCTTGCTCCCCAGGTGGACTGGTCGTATGGGGAACCCTCAGAGATCATCAGCTCCCTCCGCTATGACCCAGACGGGATGATAGCGGGGGAGAGCGCGGGGGCATACATCATCTGCCTGCCGTGCGGCCCTCGAGACCAGTACCTGCGCAAGGAGGCGCTCTGGCCCTACGTGGACGAGTTTTGTGTTGTGGTCTTCCCTTGGCCCACTCACTGAACCCCTGCCAACTGCACTCAATCGCACACACGCTCCCCTCCCCCATCTCCTTTCCACTCTCCTCCCGTTTTTCCGTTTTATCCCGGTGATTTGTTTAGGTGGACTGGTCGTATGGGGAACCCTCAGAGATGATCAGCTCCCTCCGCTATGATCCGGACGGGATGATAGCAGGGGAGAGCGCGGGGGCATACATCATCCGCCTGCCATGCGGCCCGCGCGACCAGTACCTGCGCAAGGAGGCGCTCTGGCCCTACGTGGACGAGTTTGTGGATGGAGCCCTCACGCACATCATGCACATGTCCCGGGAGCTCGCGGATCAGATCGGCGATGGGCAGCGGGTGTGGCCGTATATGATCCACGGGCACTATGCCGATGCTGGGGACATAGCAGCGCTACTATCTGGTCAGTTACTGTCATGCCTCTCTTGCTCTCATGGCAGCACATCTTTTGAGGCGCCTCAAGAATCTGTTACCTCATACCTCTTGTGCTCTCATGGCACCACGTGTGGCCGTACATGATCCGCGGCTACTACGTCGATGTGGGAGATATAGCAGCGCTGCTCTCAGGTGGGTGCTCTCAGCGCTGCTCTCAGGTGGGTGCTCTCAGCGCTGCTCTCAGGTGGGTGCTCTCAGCGCTGCTCTTAGGTGGGTGCTCTCAGCGCTGCTCTCAGTTCAGTGCCTCCGTGCAATTGTGTTTGTCATGCCTCCTTCGTTTCTCTGTCCAGGTGCACTGAACTTTGCGATGGTCCTAACTGGTCGTTCCCTCAGGCGCAACAAGCTGGAGCAGCTGTTGAAGCAGGGGCACATTAGTCGCTCTAAAATCAACACGCAGTACGCCATCGACTGGCAAATCAAAGCCTAGGACTGCCGCAGGACGTGGCAGAGCTGGTGGTCACGAGCACGCGGCAGGAGGTGGACCGTGGAGGAGAAGTGAGGTTTTCCTTCTCACCTTAATCATGCTTTCCTCCCCTCACCTCCCTTCTGTGTCTGTCTGTCTCTCTGTCTGTCTGTCCGTTTGTCCAGGTGCACTGAACGTTCCGATGGTCCTAACAGGGCACTCCCTGGGGCGAAACAAGTTGGAGCAGCTGCTGAAGCAGGGGCGCATGACCCGCGGGGAGATCAACACCCAATACGCCATCGACCGGCGCATCGAAGCGGAGGAGTTTTCTCTCGATGCAGCAGAGCTGGTGGTGACGAGCACGCGGCAGGAGGTGGAGGAGCAGTGGGGGTTGTACGATGGCTTTGACGTGCGGCTTGAGAGGGTGCTGCGTGCTCGGCAGCTCAGAGGGGTCAGCTGCCACGGCCGCTTCATGCCCCGCATGGCGGTGAGTAAACGTGGGTTCAGTGGATTCGGTGTTTGGGGTTTTAAAGGGGGTTTGGGGGTTCAGGGCTTGGTGGATATCAACTGGCAGCTCAGAGGGGTCAGCTGCCACGGCCGGTTCATGCCCCGCATGGCGTTGAGTATGGGCACTGGGGAATGGGGGTTGGGGTTTCGGGGTTTGGAGGTTTGGGGTTTTCAGGAGGGTGCTGCGCGCCCGCCAGCTCCGAGGGGCCGGCTGCGACGGCTGCCTCATGCCCCGCATGGCGGTGAGTGGGGGCACACAAGGTTTAGGGTTTCGGGGTTTTAGCGAGTGGGGGTAGAACATGCTCCCTTTTGCTCCACCCGTTTCCTTACATCCTTGCCTCACCCTACTCATCAGGTCATCCCCCCCACATAAATTTCTTCAATATGCACGTCCTGGATTTGACTCCTCTATTTCTTCAATATGCTCGTCCTGGATTTGACTCCTCTATTTCTTCAATATGCTCGTCCTGGATTTGACTCCTCTATTTCTTCAATATGCTCGTCCTGGATTTGACTCCTCTATTTCTTCAATATGCTCGTCCTGGATTTGACTCCTCTATTTCTTCAATATGCTCGTCCTGGATTTGACTCCTCTATTTCTTCAATATGCTCGTCCTGGATTTGACTCCTCTATTTCTTCAATATGCTCGTCCTGGATTTGACTCCTCTATTTCTTCAATATGCTCGTCCTGGATTTGACTCCTCTATTTCTTCAATATGCTCGTCCTGGATTTGACTCCTCTATTTCTTCAATATGCTCGTCCTGGATTTGACTCCTCTATTTCTTCAATATGCTCGTCCTGGATTTGACTCCTCTATTTCTTCCTGCCTCCCTTTCCCTCATTTCCCTCATTTCCCTCATGTCCTCGCCCTTCCCATCCCTCCTCATCGCACTGAACCCACCAGGTTATCCCTCCCGGCATGGATTTCTCCAACGTGGTGGTCCCAGACATCGATGGCCCCGAATCTCCCGGGCCTGAGCCGCCCATCTGGGCCGAGGTATGGGGCAGCTTGTGTGTGGCACATCCCCATCTGGGCCGAGGTATGGGGCAGCTTGTGTGTGGCACATCCCCATCTGGGCCGAGGTATGGGGCAGCTTGTGTGTGGCACATCCCCATCTGGGCCGAGGTATGGGGCAGCTTGTGTGTGGCACATCCCCATCTGGGCCGAGGTATGGGGCAGCTTGTGTGTGGCACATCCCCATCTGGGCCGAGGTATGGGGCAGCTTGTGTGTGGCACATCCCCATCTGGGCCGAGGTATGGAACACTACTCAAACAGTCACCCCGCTTGCAGCACATTCCACATAACGTACCTTGGTCATAATCCTTAGGTTGTTTTTCCCATATACCCCCTGCCCCATCGACCCCCTGCCCCATCGCGCAAAATCTGGTCGATTCCTGTCCTTTCTCATTCTCACCCCGTTCTTCCTGCCTCCTCCCCGCCCTGCCCCTCCTCCTCTTTCTCCCCTCCCTTGTCTCTCCCCTCCACCCCCCCCCCCCCCTTTTCAGGTGCGCAAGTTCTGGTCGAACCCGCACAAGCCAATTATCCTTGCCCTGGCCCGCCCCGACCCCAAGAAGAATCTCACTACACTCGTGCGCGCCTTTGGGGAGTGCCAGGCGCTCAGAGACCTCGCCAACCTGGTGAGTCAGAAAATTATATGGGATGCTCAAGGTAGATTTTTGAGACGTCTCAAAAATCTACTTTCTACAAAAGTATATGGGATGCTCAAGCCAGTCATGTGAGGTGGTTCTACCCTTGCCCGCACGAGCCCATCATCATTCCTAACCCACCCACCTCCTTCCTTCTCTCCCAACCTCCTTGCCACGCACCACTGTCGACTACAGTGCCTGGTGATGGGCAATCGAGACGACATTGATGCCATGAGTGCCAGCAACACGGAGGTGTTGACAGCGTATGTATTAAAAATCGTGACTTCTACCACCTTCTCCCCGTTCTCTCCCCCTTCCCACCCTCCCCCCACTCTTCCCAGTGTCTGGTGATGGGCAATCGCAATGACATTGATGCCATGAGTGCCGGCAATGCAGAGGTGTTGACAGCGGTGCTGAAGCTGATAGACAAGTACGACCTGTACGGGCAGGTGGCGTACCCCAAGCACCACAAGCAGGCTGATGTGCCGGACATATACGCACTCGCTGCCAAATCCAAGGTTAGTGAGGAGAAGAGGGGGATCCAGGCACGTAGTAGGTGTGATGTGGTGCAGTGTGGTAGGTGCTGAAGCTGATAGACAAGTACGACCTGTACGGGCAGGTGGCATACCCCAAGCACCACAAGCAGGCTGAGGTGCCGGACATCTATGCCCTCGCTGCCAAGTCCAAGGTGAGCTGCCTTTGCTTCTCTGCAGTGCAAGTATATCAGACAGAGAGGGGATATCAGGTAAAGGCATCAGGTGTGTACCCCAAGCACCACAAGCAGGCTGAAATGCCGGACATTTACGCGCTTACTGCCAAGTCCAAGGTGAGCTTCTTTTATTTCCTTTTAAGCAAGAATCATGTACATGAATGGGTATAGGGTGTCATAGGGTAGGGTGTTGCCCAACCCAAGCACCACAAGCAGGCTGAAGTGCCGGACATTTATGCGCTTGCTGCCGAGTCCAAGGTGAGCAGAACAGGGATCCAGGCAGGTGTTGGTGTGCTGTAGTGCGGTGCAGTGTGGTGCGGTGCAGTGTGGTGCGGTGTATCATGGTATGTCCTGGTATGCTGACAATGCTGTCAGCGGTGCTGAAGCTGATCGACGAGTGTGACATGTACGGCCAGATGGCCTACCTTAAATACCTGGATACAAAAATGCTGTCTCCATTGTTACCTGTCCATGGCCCTATGTCGCCTTAGCTTCAAGCATTCAGGAGAGTGTGTGAGTCCAAAGCCCATGGAATTTCGGGGGTGGGGATCTGTCAACCGCCTGACGTAGCCGTCCTCGTCTGTTCTCCCCTCTTTCCCCGCTCGACGCCTCTCCTCTGCAGGGCGTGTTTGTGAATCCAGCACTTGTGGAGCCGTTTGGCCTCACTCTCATCGAGGTACGCGCCGGGATCACTTGACACCTAAGTTTTGAGACGTCTAAAAGCTCATTCCCACTAGACATAGTAGACACTTCCTGGACACCTCAAGGCGAATGGGTTTTTCATTATTATTATTTTTATTTAATTTCTTTTCTTTTATGATTCCTACATGTCATGCTGGGCTGGGTCACAGTACTAGGCACCTCAGGGCGAAAGGGCCACCTGATTTCCTCCCACTGACCTTATTGCTGTTGGAACTTTCAGGCCCTTTCTCCCATGCCCTCCTTCCCTCCCTCCCTCCCAACCACCCTTCCCCTCTGCATCACAACCCTCAGCGCATGGCGTCCTTATGGTGACTTTTGAGGCGGCTCAAAAATCAATTATGGTGTACGGAGAGTCAGACTCAGGCTGTTTCGTGTTTTGAGTCGACTCAAAACACGACCCTTTCCATCACAACCATCAGCGCATGGCGTCCTTATGGTGGCGATTATGATGCAAGGAGAGTCGAACCAGGGTGTTTCTCCGTGCTCTCTTTCCTTCCCTCTGCCCTACTTTCCCTCCGGTTTATTCTTCCCACCCATTCGTCCCCTTTCACACCACAGGCAGCAGCGCACGGGCTGCCCATGGTGGCCACTAAGAACGGCGGCCCAGTTGACATCCAGAAGGTGAGTGCTCACGATATTAAGCAAATTATGTTACATGGTAACCATGTTGCCAGGTGCTTCCTGTGAATCTTTCTCACTGATTTCAGCCCGCCGCACATGGCTTTCTCGTGATGCTCTTTTTCTGCGCATCCGTTCTTAATCTGCCGCACACCCCTCCCGGCCCCCTTCCCTCTCCGCTCTTGGTCAGATGCTGAGCAACGGGCTGGTGGTGGATCCTCATGACGCCAATGCTCTGGCATCCGCGCTGCTACAATATTCAACCTGTAACCCCTTCCCCCGTACCCCCACTCCCCCCAACCAGCCCCATCTGTCATCTCTCCCTTTGTCAGATGCTGAGCAACGGGCTGGTGGTGGATCCTCATGACGCCAACGCCCTCGTGAGGGGCTGAGGAGGGCTCTTCCACTGTCCTTGCATTCTCAATCTGCCACTTGCTCCGCTTTCCCCCTCCCACCTCCCTTCCCTCTTCCCTTTCCCTCAGATGCTGAGCAACGGGCTGGTGGTGGACCCTCATGATGCCAACGCCCTGGCATCCGCGTTGCTACAGCTGGTGGCGGACAGGACGTTGTGGACGGATTGCAGGAAGTCAGCTCTGGCCAACATCCACAAGTACTCCTGGCCGCAGGTGGGTGGATGCTTTGGTTTGTAGGTACCTTAACGCTACTCAGGCGCTGCTACAGCTGGTGGCGGACAGAGAACTTTGGACGGATTGCAGGAAGTCTGCTCTCGCCAACATTCACAAATTCTCCTGGCCGCAGGTGGGTGTGAGTGGTGGGTGTAGGTGAGTGGGAGTGGTGGGTGTGAGTGGTGGGTGTAGGTGAGTGGGAGTGGTGGGTGTGAGTGGTGGGTGTAGGTGAGTGGGAGTGGTGGGTGTGAGTGGTGGGTGTAGGTGAGTGGGAGTGGTGGGTGTGAGTGGTGGGTGTAGGTTCATATACAGCTGGTGGCGGACAGAGTGTTGTGGACGGATTGCAGGAAGTGAGCCCTGGCCAACATCCACAAGTACTCCTGGCCGCAGGTGGGTTCATGTTCTGTTTCATAAGTTCCTCACTCGGTCTACCCAGGTTCTTGGGTAGCTGGTGGCAGGTGGACAAGGCACTGTGGACGGATTGCAGAAAGTCTGCTCTGGCCAAATACAAAAGTATTCCTGGGTGCAAGTGGGCTGGGCGCAGGTGGGTGCAAGTGAGGTCCAGTTTCCCCTTCCCTCCTCCCCATATTCCCTTCCCCTCTCCTGTTCCCCCCTTCCCCCTCCCCTTCCCCCCTCCCCTTCCCTCCTTTCCCCTCCTCCCAAACAGCGCTGCGCCTCTCTGTTAACCCGTGTAGCCCAATCACGCCTGCGCCACCCAGTGTGGAGGGCAGCAGCACTCTTCGACCAGGTCGCTGCCGCCACCTCCTCCACCCACCCCTCCACCCACCCCTCCACCGGCCTGCACTCCGACTCCCTCCGCGACATCCAAGACCTCTTCTCACCCTCTCTTCTTCCCCTTCCCCTTTCCACTGTCCCTTTCCCCGTGTCCTCTTCCCTTCTCCCCTTACCCCTCCCAACCACCCCCAACAGCACTGCGCCTCTCTTCTCACCCGTGTGGCCCAATCCCGTCTGCGCCACCCAGTGTGGAGGGCAGCAGCACTCTTCGACCAGGTCGCTGCCGCCACCACCCACAGCAACACCGGCCTCCAATCCGAATCCCTCCGGGACATCCAAGACCTCTCCCTGCGCCTCTCATTCGACGGCAAGTTCTGGGGCGGAGGCTCCTTCCAAGGAGGCTCCATTGATCTCTCTTTCATGCTGGATAACCTCGGGGTTATCTGGCCGGACGGTAGGTCTGCTAGTGGTTACGCGGCTGAGCCTTCTCATGCTGCTGCTGGTGGTGGTTTTGGTGGTTCTGGTGGTCTTGGTAGTGGGGATGGGCTGGGAGCAGGGGCAGCGTTGGGGATTCCGTGCAGGCAGGGGAATTATTCGTTCACTGGGGGTATGGGGTCGGAGAGTGTTGGGAGGTACAGGGAAGGGGTGGGCGGGTCGGGGCGGTTGCAGGGGACGCAGGAAGAAGGGGAGGACGGAGGAGCAGGAGCAGGGGCAGGGGCGGGAGAGAAAGGGTCGGCAGCAGGAGCGGCGGCAGCAGCAGCGTTTGAGGGGCTCAGGCTGAGAAGGAGAAGGCGGCTGATTGTGGTAGCAGTAGACGAATACGACCCTGTTGGGCGGCCGGGTTCGTCTGTTCTGGACTCTCTCTGCGTTGCCCTGGAGGTGGCCTACCGGCACAACACGGGGACGTTAAGGAAGCGCGTTGTATGGGGTATGGGGCCGGGCGGGGAGATTGGTGTGGTACTGGCGACGGCACTGACGGCCAGAGAGACAGTGGCAATGCTGACAGCAGCAGGAGTGGGGCTGAGGCAGCTTGATGCTCTGATTGCAGGGGGAGGGAGCGAGGTGTACTACTCTGTACCGTGCTCCACCGCATCGGACCTTGGAGCAGCAGCAGCTGGGGGAGCAGGAGCAGGAGCAGGAGCGGTGGCAGGAATGGCAGCAGGCCTGGTATCAGCCATGGCTCCTCTGCAGGATCGGGAAGGCTGGCAGTTGCTTCCCGATCCGGACTATTTCGCGCATATTGAATACCGATGGAGCGCAGACGGTGTACGGCGGTCCATGGGACGAATCCTGGCTCACGCTATAAAGGGTACAACGGGTGGGGCTGCCAGTGCTGCCACCAATCCTGCTGCAGGCTCTGGGGGTGTTTTTCCTCCTCCTGCCGCTGCCCTCTCTGCTGCTGCTGCTGCCCCTGCATCTGCTGCTACGAACGGTGCTGCTGCTGCTGCTGGTAACGGGGCTGCTACTAACGAGGACGAGTATGTCCGCTCGATCTCCTTCTCAGACGGGCTGACAGCAATCGCCTCTGAGCCTGCAGCTGCTTCCACCGGCACAGGCATCCCGGGGAGCAAAAGCGTGACTGGCAGCAGGCTGGGGGATGCAGGGGCGGGATCGAGAAGGGTGAGGGGTGCGGTGGGGAGCGGGTTGCTGCTGCAGCAGCAACAGCTGCTGGCGGTGCAGCATGTGTGCGTGGAGGATGAGATGAGAACCACATCCCGGCGACTGGCTTACCGAGTGCTCGATATTGCTCAGGTAAGGATTGGGCTTTTGGGTGCTGCTAGTTGCTGCTGCACCAGCAGCAGCTGCTGGCGGTGCAGTGCGTGTGTGTGTGGAGGACGAGATGAGAACAACATCGAGACGGCTGGCTTACCGAGTGCTCGATATTGCACAGGTAGGAATACTGCTGTTTAGGTGCCTGCCTGACAATGTTGGCCCACAGACGAATTACATGTAGTGCCGCAGGAGTGTGTGGAAGATGAGATGAGAGCCACATTGAGACAGCTGGCTTATCAAGTGTTCAATATTGCACAGGTAAGGACTGCTCGGAACGTGTTCAGGTGACGGTCTCAAGAAGTGTGCAGCTGGATGTGAATGGAGGCATACAGCTAGCTGGTCACTGCTGAGAAGCATTTATTCCAATCTCTTCCTACAATGATATTGAAAAGAAGGCTCTGACGTGTGAAGTATGGCAGGGATCTCTGATGTGTGCAGTATGGCAGGGCTTTCTCTACTCTCCTCCCGACATTTTTCACAACCATCCTCCTCCCCTTTCCCTCCTTCCCCCTTCCTTCCCCCAGATGCCAACAGCAGCTGAGCTGCGTCGTCGCCTGCGCCTACGTGGCTTGAGGTGCCACGTGGGCTACTGCCGTGCCGCCACGTGTCTTCACATCCTGCCTCTCCACGCCTCTCGCTCACAGGCCCTCAGGTAATGTATTGGGCAAATTACATAATTGCTTATTAGGTTTGACCTCTTTGATACGTTTTCTCCTGATCTATTGTCCCCTGTGCTATCCCTCTCTGTCCCTTTTTCTCCCTCTCTATCCCACTCCCCCCCCCAGGTACCTTTGTGTCCGCTGGGGATTGGAGCCTGCTGACCTGGCAGTCATCGTCGGCAGTCCAGCTGGCGCTGACGGGGATTACGCGCAGCTGCTGTCAGGCATGCACCACACGCTCATTCTGGAGCCTCCCGCTGCTGACGTGGGACAGCACCAAGGAGCGGCAGCAGCAGTAGCAGCAGGGGTGGGTACTGTGGCATTAGGAAGCGGTGCAGTAGGGTTGGATCCGTTAGCAGACTACAGGAGGAAGCTGCTGCATGAGTTTGTGCCACGTAGTGACGTGCATCTGCCCAATCTCGTGAATGTGGAAGATTCCTCGAGCGACAAGGTCAGCTCTCTCGCTGAAGCCCTGGAGAAGATAGGCTTTGCATAAGTAAATGTCGCTTTCTTTGTAGTGACGTCCATCTGCCCAATCTCGTGAATGTGGAGGACTCGTCCAGTGACAAAGTGAGCGTACTGGCTGGGGCCCTGGAGAAGATTGGGTTTGCATAAGCAGGCTGCGGGGCTGTTGGAGGGCATGGGAGGAAGCTACTGCATGAGTTGTATCCGCGTAGTGACTTGCATCTGCCCATTTCTTTAAACGTCTTAAGAGTCTGCATGGGAGGAAGCTGTCAAAATGTTATCATGCTTACATTGTGTAAGCTGTAGTGGGGTAGCCCATAAGTACTTGTACCAACTTTCTGCTCAATGCATTCATTCTCCTTCAGTATTATGACATGGTTTCAGAGCAGGTCCTGTTCTAAGAAAGCTTTTTTTTTAAGGGCCCACCACATAGCGCTGCCCAACCCGTTGCGTCGCCCTGCTCTGCCTGTTGCGTCGCCCTGCCCTGCCTGTTGCGTCGCCGTGCTAGCTGTCGCGTCGCCCTGACCTGCCCGACGCGTCGCCCTGCTTGCTGTTGCGTCGCCCTGCCCTGTCAGTCGCGTCGCCCTGCTGCCCGCGCGACGCATTGCTGCATGCGCGTCGTCCAGCCCTGCATGCGCTGAGCCGCCCTACTGCCCGCACCGACCTGCTGCGCGCCGCCCTGCTGCTGCCCGCCCTGTTGCGCGCAGCCCTGCTGGCCGGCGCCCTGCTGCCCGTGCGCCGCCCTGCTGGCAGCCGCACCGATGCCCGCCCTACTGGCCGCCGCCCTGCCCTGCCCTGATTGCGCACCACTCTTCCCTAGCAGTGCGCCACCTCTCCCTGCCCTGCGCGCTTCCCTAGTGCCCGCGCGCCACCCTGCCTGCGTGCTGCCATGCTGGTCGCGCGCCGCCCTGCTCTGCCCGCTATGGCTTCTCTCAGTGTACTCACATTCGATCATGAGGGCCGTCCGATCCAGTTCAATACGTGGCTCGACGACTTACAGCTGTACCTACTGAGCGATTCTAGAGACAGCGTTCGATTGTTTGACCACACGTCTGGAGCCTCTCTCACCCCTCCCGCCATAGCTGACAGTGCGACTCGCTCACAGTGGCTTACCCATGACGCTGCTGCTTGCTTAGCCGTTCGCAACCACCTGCCGTTAGCCGAACGTGTTCACTTTGGCCAGCACAAGACTGTTAAGGCCCTGTACGATGCTGTAGTCACTCGTTACTCCTCCCCTGCCACTGCTGCTCTCGGTCGCCTTATAATGCCCTACCTGTTTCCCGAGCTGTCAGCCTTTGCCACGGTCGAGAACCTAGTTACCCACCTTCGCACTAGCAACGCTCGCTACCACGCTGCCCTCCGAGCCGAGTTCCTAGACAGAAACCCACCCCCGATGTACATCACTCTCTACTTCATAGTCACCCGCCTCCATGACTCTCTTCGTGCAGTCAGGGACCACTTTCTCGCTCTTGACCCCACAGACCTCACTGACGACCTGCTCGAGAAGCACCTCCTTGCAGTTGAGACTAGCGTAGTCGCTGTAGGTGCTGCTCGTGGCACTCCTCGCACACCCTTCTTTGAGGGGTGTTCCCCCTCCCCCCCCCCCCCCCCCTTGCCCCCTCCTACGCTTCTGCTGCTACTGTTGACATCCTTGGCACTGAGGATGTCGGGACTGCTTCTGCTCTTAGTGGGAAGCACCACATCAGCAAGGGCAAGGGTGCCAAGAGTGGTGGCGGTGGCAGCGGGGGTGGTGGTGGTGGGAGCAGTGGAGGCGGTGGAGGTGGCGGAGGTGGTGGCAACGGTGGGAGTGGTGGCGGGAGTGGGGGTGGCGGTGGTGGCGGCTGTTAGAATCACTAGCTAGGGAACGAGAAAAGGTGATGATTAGGTGAAGATTGGGGTACAAGACTAGAGTGTCGAGACTATTTGTGTACCCCCTAAGGCTAGCCCCAATATAGCCTAGATACAATTATGCATATGTTTTGACACACCCCCATAGGCGAAATGGGGGATAGCCAGAGCAAGTAGTGGTCACAAGACCAGTCAGGAAGGGCAAAGCAAGCTCAAGGTGGATCTCGAGGAAACCACACAAATTCCGAGCACAAGCAAGTGGTCACAAGACCAGTTCACATGCAGTTTAATAATATAGCAAGGGGTACAGTGAGCACAACCTAGCAAGTGTAAGTATGCAGGTATATATATAGAGATCACAGTACAAACAGATTCAAGAAGTAAGCAAGTGAGGCACAGTAGACACAAGGCCTAGAACAGTACAGAAGCGCTGATGGTCACAAGGCTGAAGCGCCTTGGTGAACACATCAGCAGTGTTGGCCCGAGTGGCCACGTAACGCAGACAAAGCTGACCACGCTGCTGCAGCTCTCGAGCAAGGAAGTACCGTAGAGCGATATGCTTCGTTCTGTGCTCCAAACTGTGCTCCTCACACAAGGCAATGGTAGCCTTGTTGTCAACGTACAGCACTGGAGGAGAACGAGGCCGCTCTCCCAAGTCGGTCAGCAGGTAGGTGAGCCAGCGTAACTCCTGTGCAGCCATGGCTGTGGCGTAGATCTCAGCCTCACAACTGGAGCTGAGAACGGAAGACGAGCGTGTAGAACGCCAAGAAACAGAACCAGAGCCAAGGCTGAAGGTGTAACCCTGAGACGACCGCTGAGTAGCCTGGTCGTCAGCCCAAGAAGCGTCTGAGTGCCCAGTGAGTACAACTCGGTCTCGTCCTCCAAGCACTAGCCCCATGCCCGACGTACTGCACAAGTAACGCAACACCCTCTTAGCGGCATCCATGTGCTCCTTCCGGTGACGACCAGGAGCGACATAGCGTGCAAGGATGCTAAGAGGGTATGCAAGGTCAGGTCGAGTGCAGGTCATCAGGTACATGAGGCATCCCACAAGCTCTGGATACGGGTTACTCGGCTCTACGGACTCATCCGAAGGCAGAGCTGAGAGCGAGTGACCGGTAGGCAGAGGAGTGGGCTGAGGCGAGGAGTACGTGAAGCGGAAGCGCTGAAGGACCTGCTGCACCATGTGTGACTGAGTCAAGGTGATGGTGCGCCGTGCTCTGTCCCGGGTGATCCGCAAGCCAAGATAGCTTGTCAGTTCACCCAGGTCTGTGCACGTGTGTCTCTTCTGCAGCTCCGACTTCACGTGGGCGAGTGCCGTAGTGTCAGCAGTGGCAAAGACCAAGTCGTCGACGTACACGAGGATGTAGAACGGCGGCAGTGAAGTGTCGGTGCGTAGAAACAGCGACGGGTCAGCAGTAGAAGGAGCGAACCCAAGAGCCGCAAGTGTAGTCCTCAGTGTGTCGTGCCACTCACGCGGCGCCTGGCGGAGACCGTAGACTGGCCGTCGGAGGCTCCACTGGGTACCAGGAGGGAACGACCCAGTGAAGCCAGGTGGGCGGCGCAGCCAGATCTCCTCGTGCAGGCTGCCCTGCAAGAAAGCTGTGCTGAAGTCAAGAGAGTGGAGCTCGTAGTCACGCTGAGCGGCGACGTGCAGCAGAACCCGAAGAGTGGTCATCTTCGGGGTCGGGGAGAAGGTCTGGAAGAAGTCAACTCCCTCTCGCTGACTGAAGCCTCGTGCAACGTAACGCGCCTTGAAGACAGGCGGAGAACCCGGCGGCCGCTTCACCCTGAAAATCCACATGCCACTGACGATGTTCGCCCCAGGTGGGGGAACCTCGTCGACGTAGGTGCCTGTGGACTTCCAAGAAGCCATCTCTGCGTCCATGGCTGTCTGCCACTGAGAGGAGTACTCACCCGCGATCGCCTCAGCATAAGAGCGCGGGGTCGGGATGTCTGGAGCATCCGGGTCTCCCTTAGGGGCAACCAGCATGGACACGAGATGAGGTAACGCAGCGGCAAAGCACTCAAACTCCTCCTGCCTGTCCTCAAGGACGTCCGTGCCAAGAGCACACTCACCCCCGACGGACGAAGGACAGACAGACTCAGACTCAGACTCAGCGACAAGGCTAGCGGCGTAGTCTAGACGACAAGCGGCAGCAAAGTCAACGAACTCAGCGACTAGAGCAGACGCAGCAGAGGACTCAAAGGAAGGGTCAGTGACAACTGTGGCGAGGAGACGCGTGACAGTAGGACTGGCAGCACGAAGGGAGTCAGACTCCGGGTCAGCAAGAGTAGGAAGAGAAGACGCAGGAGGAGACGGCAGAGGGACACGCTGAGGAGCAGTGGAAGGACGAAGTGCCATCTGGTGAGTGCCTGGGACAGCAGGAGGACGCTGACGCGGAACACGACGACCAGTGTGAGCAGCACGAACAGGTGACGCACGACGAGACTCTGGCGACGCAGGACGAGACTCAGGCTCACGACGCTCTGTAAGACCTCCAGTCGGACCAGTGTAAGGAGAAGGACCAGGGAGTGGCGAGGCAGGCGGTAACTGTGACTGCGACTGGACAGGCGGAGGACACTCTAAGGAGGGAGCAGGACTAGGGGGAGGCGGCTGACCAAGAACCTGCTGAAGGAGCGGAACGAAGTACGGCCGCGGCCGCGCAGCGCCTCCAGAACCAGCAGAGGCACCACCAGTACCCTCAGCTCCAGGGTCTCCAGCTACACCAGCAGCACCAGCTCCCGGGTCCGCAGCACCAGCAGCAGCTCCAACTCCAGGGTCCTCAGCTCCAGCAGCAGCTCCAACTCCAGGGTCGGCAGCACCAGCAGCAGCTCCAACTCCAGGGTCCGCAGCACCAGCAGCAGCTCCAACACCCGGGTCCGCAGCACCAGCAGCAGCTCCAACACCCGGGTCCTCAGCACCAGCAGCAGCTCCAGTAGTAGGAGTACCTCTAGCAGCTCCAGCAGCACCAGCAGTACCACCAGTACCAGCAGTACCTCCAGCAGCGTCAGTAGCACCAGCACCAGCAGCACCTCCAGGAGCACCAGCAGCACCGCCAGCAGCAGTAGCACCTCCAGCACCAGGGTCCGCGACACTAGGAGCGCCACTCCGGAGACTGCAGCGCCGCGCGTACCACTCTCGGAGCCGCTAGGGAGAGGGCAGCTCCCGCCTAGGAGGGG